TGTGTGCATCCCTGAGAGCAGGGATGCCTGCAGTGCTCCCCACTCAGGGTTTGTTTGTGTTTCCCTGAGCAGTGCTTTGCCGATCACATCCAGAAGGAGCTGAACCTGTTCCCGCCAGACAAAAGGAAAGAGGTGGTCATCCTCTTCTCAGCACACTCGCTGCCCATGTCTGTGAGTTACCCAGGGCAGGGCGTGGGCACACAGTGTGGCAGTGCCAGGCAGGCCTGGTCCTTCCCGGGGTGTTCACCGTGCCAAAGGTGCGCTGTGCTTGGTGCAGGTGGTGAACCGTGGAGATCCCTACCCTCAGGAAGTGGGAGCCACTGTCCAGAGGGTCATGGAGAAGCTCAACTACTCCAACCCTTACAGGCTGGTGTGGCAGTCCAAGGTAAGTGCTCGGGGCAGCTGAGCAGACAAAGCCTGTGCAGGGTCTCGCTGGGCTGGAAAAAATACACATTACTTACAGTTTTGGTTATTTTCTTCAGTCTTGTTCAGGCCAGCCCACGTACTTTCCTTTGAGATGTAATGGTGGGAAGTGTGTCTTCATTAAACATTCAGTGGAGAGAGTGAGAAGTACAACCAGAAGCAGGGAAATAAAAAATAACTGTTTGTGTCCCACCCATAACCTGCTCTGTTGTGCTGCCTAAGGAAATGTGGGTGCTCTTTGTAAGAATGATTTAATGAGTGTTTTCCCTTTATTTCTGCCTTTTTGCTCCAGGTTGGACCAATGCCCTGGCTTGGTCCCCAGACAGACGAGACCATTAAGGGCCTGTGCCAGCGAGGAAAGAAGAACATGCTGCTGGTGCCAATAGCATTTACCAGTGACCACATTGAGACTCTGTATGAGCTGGACATCGAGTATGCCCAGGTTTTGGCCAACGAGGTCGGTGCTCTGTGGGTTGGGTCCCTGCTCTGAAATTATTTCTCCTGGGTTCCAATTTGCTTTGTAGTTGCTTCTTGCAATATTATTTGGGGTTAGCTTTGTTTTCCTGTAAATCAAAAATTAATCTGAACTGGCTTAACCACAAAACAGGTGGGAGTTTGTCTTTCTAGATTTAGGTGTTTAAACCATTACAAATATCGCTCAAAAACAATGAGTCATTTTCATTCATTCAGTGAATGAATGACAACACAATGTAATGTTGCCCCATAGTAATTTTTGCTGTGATACTGCATTTAATCCACTCATTTTGGGGTGACTTCTTAATGACATGGGAAGATTTTGGAGGCTACTCAGTGAAGGATCAGAACAGATTTAACTTTTTCCTCCTTGCTTTTAATTCAGTGTGGAGTTGAAAACATCAGAAGAGCGGAGTCTCTCAATGGAAATCCACTCTTCTCCAAGGTGTGTGCCATGCTGCAGTGGCTTACAGGTTTGCAGTTGTGTTTCCTGCTGGGTGTGGGTGTTTTCAGGTGGCTTTAGGGCATTTTGAGTTTCAGAGGAGCGTGGAACCCCATGCAGCTGATGTGCCCAGCACGGAGGGGTTCCTCATGCAGCAGTTTGTGCGCTTTGGTCACAAGGGGTGGGCTGGGGGCACTGCACAGCTGGATTTGCTGCCTCTGACGTGTCCCCCCTCCCCGCAGGCCCTGGCAGACCTGGTGTGCTCCCACCTGCAGTCCAACGAGGTGTGCTCGCGGCAGCTGACGCTGTGCTGCCCGCTCTGCGTCAACCCCGTGTGCCGGGAGGCCAAGGCGTTCTTCAGCAGCCAGCCCCTGTGAGCAGCCAGCAGGGCACGCACGGCCTGCTCGGGGCATCCTTCTGCAGTGTCCTTGCGTTGTAGGAACGAGGGAGATCAGGGCATTTATCCTGTCAGGTGTGAGGAGATCTCCTGTCATCCGACCCCGATGGGACTTCTTGTGAGCCCAGCAGGACGCACTGAAAATCCTACACAGCTTTTCTACAGTTAGCTTCTATTTCTATGCAGGGATTTATTGTGTGCGGGGTGGTCAGGAGCTCATTGACTTGGCCAGGTTGAAGGTGCACTGATTTTGGTTTTGCTTGAGGTGCAGTGTCAGCAGCACAGTCTGTTGTCTGTTCTGAGAGGGACTTTGCAGCTGGCTTTGGAGACTTTGGAGATCAGGTTACTTCTAGTGCTTTTTAATAAGGTGTGTATGTGTATATATTGTTTTTAATTTTTTTTTTTTTTTAGAGCATAAAGATAAGGCTTTGTTTTGTTTTGGTTTTCTCCTGCCGGAAACTTCCTGTGAAAGCTTAGCTGGGATAGTAGAACGCACAAAACTTGTTTACATTTTCTAGGAAAAACATTTTCATTATCTGCAGGAAAGTATTTGAAGAGTATAAATTGAAAGGAATTAGGGAATTAGCCTGCTTGGGTGATACTGGAGAATTTGCTCCATTGAAACTGCGTGTTTCAAGTCTAGCAGGAGCATGTGTGGAAACATGTTGGCTTATCCGTTAAGCAGAATGAGTTTTTCAATTCTTCTTATTTTTATTAAAAAAGGGCTTTTTCTGTTCGGTGAAGTAAATGTAGGAAGTCAGGCGTGTTCTCCGGGAGGTTTATAGACCCACTCTGTGCTTTCTACTGTGCCACAGTACTGTGGCTGTGTGGGGTGCCTATGGAGTGCCGTAGGTAGGACTGATCTGGCTGCATTGCTGATGCTCAGACGATGGGTCAGGAGTGGTTTGGCTCTCAGCTGCAGATGCCTGAGCACAGGAGGCTGCCAGCCCCAGCAGGGCTGTGCTGCAGGGCCCTGGCACCGGCCGTGCCCCCTCCTGCCCGCCTGCCTGCCTGCAAAGCTGTGACCGTGGCACTGAGCCCTGTGCGGGGCAGCCTGCTGGCACCTCCTTGGGCACCCGTTTACTTGATGTCCTTAGCACTGAAATGCCAGGCCTGGGCACTGCAGGCTGGTTCCTGGGAAGCAGATGCCGTGCTGCTCAGCCAGGCTGATGTGCTCAGCAGTTTGCACCTCAGGGCCTTGGGGAACAGGGTGTTTGTTTGAAGAGAGAAGAGGCCTCCTGTGGTGTGTCAGGGGTCTGTCCCGTTCTGGTTTGTTGCTGGAATCAAGGATGGGGTACCAAAGGAACGGGTGGATCCCGTGCTGAGCACCCATGGAGTGCTGAAATCCCAAATACCTCTGGAGAGCTGCTTGCTCCACTGCCATACCTGCTTCCCAGGGTGAGACACACTGAGATTCCTCAGTGCCAGAACCTCCTGCAGCACCCTGCTCCCCACACAAAGTCTTCCTTGACCCCTCATGCCTGTGCCTGTTTCAGTGGCAGGGAGCCAGGAGCTTCTCTCCTCCCTCCTCTCCCTCCCCCTGGGCGCTGCTCGCACCCTGGGCAGGGAACAGGAGCACCAATGTCCAGGATGTCTGGGAACACTGGCCTTACACCTCTCCTTGATAAAGAACTTCCTGTGTTTCACCTCTCTGCGTGACACCTTGGGATCAGTGCAGAGCTGTCTGCTCTGTGAAATCTTCCTGCCCGCTCCTGTTTCCCCACAGCTGGGGGGAACGTGGACCTTCAGGTGGTCCAGGCTGCGACCACCACATTCACAAGTGTGGAAAGCAGAGGTTAACATCATATGAACCTTGTGGTATTATAAATACAGCTGGCTTTTCATTTTCATACTGGAGAGAGTCCTGTAAATACTAGCTGGCACTGATTCTGAGGCATTACATTTGTCCCCAGTAATAAAAGGTACTTAAAATTCACTTTTGAGTGTTCTAACCACAAGCGGGATAATTACTCTGTTGCTGCTATTACAGCATCATGTGGAAATCGCTTAATTTCCCAGCTTTTATCAGATGGAGCCTGTCTCACAGAGCTGCTGGTGCTGCTTGCTGTCAGAGGGTGGTTCTCTCAAGGTTTCTGAGGGGTTCCTCGTCTCCCAGGCCGATGGCCAGCGGGTTGGGTGAGTGTGTGCCCTGAGGAGAGATGGATCCGTGCTGCAGGCGCCTTCCTGAGCCCTGTCAGAGCTGTGTCCCCCTGAGTTTGCAGCTCACCCAGCGCTGTGGAGCTCTGGCCTCAGGATATCGACTGGAAACTGGGGAGTTGGGAACAGCCCGTGGTGTCCTGAGGGAAGAAATGGGAGGGAAAGGGGGGAGCTTGTTTTCCTGCTTTAACACTCTGCAGTTTGGCTTATTTTTTCATGATTGAGTGAATTTTTCTTTTTGAGTGTGTTTTTAAGCTGTCCCTGGGTCCTCGCTGCATTTCAGAGAAGGTGCTGTGGCGCCAGAGGGCTGTGGGTGGTGGCAGAGCCGGGCTCCTGCTGTCCCCTGGGATGGGGTGGCACCGCTGGGCTCGGTGGGGCCTGGAAGCTCGGGGAGTTCTCCCTTCCCACCACCATCACCTTGGAGAGCCAGCTGCAGGCCAGAGCAGCTCCTCTGGCTCTGTTAATGCCACATGTGTGCAGATCCTTGCTTTCGGCCCCACATATGCATTTCACATTGACCAAGGACTTCCATTTGATGTAGCACAGCAAATTTGGATACTCCTTCTGTGTGTCGTTTGCCATAAGGATGGAATTCCAATTAAAGTTCTTTTGAGGAAATACCTGAGCTGTGTGTCCTTGTAAGAGCCCTTCCTGCTGGTGTGTGAAGGTGTCTGTCCCTCTGGTGTCAGGCTGGGGTGAGTGACACCCCCTCAAGGACTGAATGAGGGATGTGCCCTGGTGTGGGATCCCACCTGATGGATAATTTATTCTGTTCCCTGTTAGCGGTCTCTGGGCAGCTCCTTGCTGATGTTGCTAATTAAGTGCCGGATTGATTATTTCCTAGAGCAGGGATTGGGGATGTTAAGCTGATCCATTAGTGATGGGGGGAGCAGGATGCCAGCCCAGCCCAGTGGAAGGTGGGCAGTGTGAGCAGAGCAGTGATGGTGCTTCTGCCCTTCTGGAACCTCGGTCCCGGCTTTGCTGGGTTACCTTTGAGGGGGGATTGGCTGTGTCAGCCTGGCAGAGCTTTGGCAAGGCCATATTTGAATCCACAGCAGTCTCTGACAATGTGGAAGCACTTTTCCTTCCCTCCCTCTTTCTGAAGGGTCACTCTCCACCTGCCTTCCTGCTTGGCCATGGGTTTATTGTGTTTCCAGGAGCAAATTCCTGGGGCTGTATGAGCTGTGCTGTGTCTCCCATGCTCTGTGGAAGTACTTGTGTCCAGCAGCACAGCCTGGCTGAGTGATTTGGCTGTCACTCGGCATTTCAAGCCCTACTTCTGCCTGTAGAGCACGGGGATTTGCAAATTTGGACCAGGTCTAAAACCTGCCTTTTGTCTTCCTGCTAAATTTGTGCTCAGCACTGAGTGCCAGGAAGAGCTTATTTAATCTGAGTCCATTGGCCTGGCTGATGAGCATCCTTGCCATGACTCTGGAGATGGATTGTCTGTCCAGAGAGGGATCATCTCCACACACACAGCCTTTGATCCCCGGGCTCAGAGCTTGCTCCTGCGACACCTGAGCCCCACAGGCCCCACCAGAGGGAGGGATTGCTCCTTCCCACCCCAGAGCTGTGCAGGGCAGGCTTGGAGCACTGCCCTGGTGGGAGCTGTCCCTGCCCCTGGATGTCTGTTCCAGCCAGCCTGGGGCTCTGTGAGTCGCTGGAGGTGCTGCTGTGCCGCCGTGGCTCACTGGCAGCGAAAGGGACGCACATCTGGGGCCTGGCAGTTCCTGGAATGACGCAGAGCGCTGCTGCAGTCTCCTGTCATCTTTAGGGATGATCCATGGCGTGTGAACATCTCCCGCTCTCGAGGCCTAATTGCGTTTCTCCAGCCAGCAGGGGCGATTCCAAGGCAGCTTAAACGAGCACTTAAGGGATAATGCTGGGAGCACTCGGGGGGGTTCTGTGCCCAGGCTGGGCTCCTCACAGCCAGCTCTGTCATTGGGCTCCTCACAGCCAGCTCCCCCAGCGCTTTTATCCCAGTTATTGGGCTCCTCACAGCCAGCTCCCCCAGCGCTTTTATCCCAGAGTTATCGGGCTCCTCACAGCCAGCTCCCCCAGCGCTTTTATCCCAGAGTCATTGGGCTCCTCACAGCCAGCTCCCCCAGCGCTTTTATCCCACAGTTATCGGGCCATTAGGGTTCTCTTTTACTGCCCTGGAGTTCTCGTGCTGTCAGGCGGGAGGGGAGGGAGCTGTAACACGACCCAAAGTGGTCTTGTATGTTTTAATCTGCTGGTTTAATACCTTATGGCTTCCTGCCATTATCCCTTTCTGAGCCGGACCCTGGAGTCGCTCCTGGAGCTTTGCAGGCAGCTTCCAGAGGGTTTCTGCAGTTTCTGGCAGGCAGAGCCGGCCTCGGCTTGCTCTCTGTGTGTGTGGGCACTGGTGACAGATGTTCCCACCTGATGATCCCACTGTGCTATCCTGGCCACCTATTCCAAGGTGTTTTTTTTGTCCTGGCTGTTTTCCTTCAGCACCCCCATCCCACGCGTGCTGCAAATCAGTGGCATTGCACAAGCTCCTGCTGTTTTCCTCCAAAGAAACCCGCTTTCCTCACCCTGACCTGCTGTTGGTGTGCAGCTTAGGAATGAGCTCCATGGCTCCAGAGCTGGCCCTGGAGCCCAGCTCAGGAAAAGCTGATGCTGATGCAGCATCCCGGCCCGGCTGCAATGCTCCCTCACACCCAGCTCATCCTTCAGCTTAATGAAATGGTCCCATTTCCCTCCTCCAGCTGTGCCCACTGCTAAGTGCCTGGAAAATGCATCCCCGGGGGAGCAATGCTGCGAGCGAGATGGAAATGACCTGCCGCGGCTGCATTAGTCTCGGTGTCACCACTCTCGCCTCGCTGCTGTTAAAGGGTTTTTACCCTGCCCGTGCCTCTGCAGCCCTCCCCAGCAGAGGCAGCAGGAAATGAGGCCGCAAGAGCCACGGCCTGGGCTCTGCCTCACAAAGTGCTGAGGAGGCAGCTCTGCCTTTATCTGCGCCCGTGGCCACTCGGCAAAGTGAAATGAAGCAGTGTAAATTTAATTAATGGCAGGATCTGGCTCAGTGTGGAGCGAGGGACACAAAGAGAATGAGCATGAAAACAAACTTTCCAGTGAGTTTATTAACCCCAAGGTTAGACTTTGGTGCCAGGGTTAGATCCCAGCCAACAAACCCCAAGGCAGGGCCTTGTCACTGCTCTGGGGCTGGGGGGTTGGGGGCCCCCCATGCCTGCCCAGGCTGATGCTGCTCCAGGAGCTCACAGGAGTGGGCTAGGGCAAGAGGGGGCTGGGTTTGTCTGGGTTTTAAAGACAGAAACACAACAAAGTGCTTTTCTTGTGCCCTTTGTTTTGCCTTTTCCGAGGAAACACAAACAAGGCTTGTCCACAGCTAGGGTAAGTAACTGACTGACTGACTGACTAAATGAATGAAGGCAAACCTGCTACCTCCTGCTTGCCATGGAATTTCAGCTCCAGGAACCTCCTGCCTCCTCCCATAGAGAAAGAAAGTGCAATAACTAACATAATTTTACAGCAATTACATTGCGTCCTGTAATTCCATGACTTACACAAATACAGAGTGGTTTCTCCTGTAATATCACAGCTGCACAGGCTGTGCTCGTGGGAGAAGGTGCCAGATGCTTTCCCAAGTGCTGCTGCTCACGCTTGGCCAGGCCCCTGGTCCCTGGTGGCATTTTTGGGCTGTGGTCCTACCCTGTGCTCAGCTCTCCTCGCCCCTGAGGGCTGCAGCAGCCTGAGCCCCCTTGGCTCCTCTGCACCCTCGGTGTGGGATGGGCTTGTGGTGGAAAAAACCCTGGGGAAAATCAGGAACTTTTGACCGCACAAGGAAGCAAAGGCATTGTTTTCCTCCTTTATTGAACTTTGGCAAATAATATGTGTGTGTGGGTTTTACATCAATAGCTATAAATAAAACTTTGAAAGCAATGTAATACTTGTCATTGAGATAAAGGACATCTATTGGCACAAATCAGTGAGTAAAAACCCTTTAATGATAAAATAACATTCACTCTTTAGCTACTTTATTTGTCTGAAAAACTCAGCTTACACTCAGTTCAACATACCACCTTCCACAAAGTTAAAAAATGACATAAAATGACATAATAAAATAGACCTTAAATTTCATAATACAAGTACCTTGGCAAATTCCAGCCAGCTGGAGCAGCTCGCGGCAGCCCCGCCGTGCCCTTGCCGCGGCCTCCCGTCCCCCTGGCGGCCTCTGGGCTGAGGAATGCGGGTGTACTCGGCCTGGGTCACAGCAACTGCGTGTCGGTGAGGAGTGGTGGCATCTGCCAGCAGGGCTCTGCCCGGCGTCCCGCTCTGCTTACTGCGGGACGGCCGGGAAACTTCTGGGAGATGAACCACTGTTACAATCATCAACTGTCTTGCAAAAACCCCTGTTTAAAGTTCTTGTGTCTGTGACTGTCTTTGGCAGAGAAATCAGGAAAGAAAATAACCCGGCTATATTACACAGCTTCCATTATCGTCACAACCTACCGAGTAAGGCCAAATGAAAAGGTCTGCTTGCACTAATGAGAGCACGTCTCTAAAATACCCTTAACGACAGACCACATCAGCACTCAGAGGCCTCCTCAGCAGCGTGCCACTGCCCCTCCCAGGCCCGCTTCTCCACAGAGGGCAGGGTATGGAGCCCTTGCTTTGGCTTTATGTCCAGCACGGCCCACGAGCAGGGCACAGCGGGGCTCCGAAGCTGGACCCGGAGAGGAAACCCAGCCCATCCTTAAACAGGGGGCTCAAGCGTGAATGTGGACAAACCAAAGGGGGATAGAGCACCTGCATAAACCCGGCCCAGGGCAGGGCGTGGGCAGCAGCAGCAGCAGCAGCAGCACAGGGCCCAGCTGGAGTGCTCGGGTGGGCTCGGGCCAGGGGACACGGCGGGGACAGCGCTGTGAGCGCAGGCTCTGTGCCCTGCCCTGCTGGCACAACTGCGGCCGTGGCTGGGCAGGGCAGGGGCGGGGCAGGGCGGTCCCTGAGCCCAGGGGCTGCCATAAAGCCAAAGGAACTCCTGACCCTGGACAAAACACACGGCAGCCTCCGTGAGGAGCGGGGCGTGCATTGCCAGGGGACCGAGGGAACCGAATCGCTGGGGAGAAGCTGCCAGCTGGCCAAACCTCTCCCCAGATGGCAATTGGATTGGAATTGAATTTGGGTCTGTTTAGCACAGGGACAGACCAGAGCTGACCTGGACACACCGAGCAGTGCTGAGCTGCGTGGGGCGAACCCGGGCGGGATTTCAGAGCGTAAATGCAAACACAACTGCGCCACGACTGCGAACAGCTAACAGGCTCCATGCATAAATAAATACACCAAGCCAAAGAGCTCGTCCCAAACCCAAAGGAAGAAGTTGCCATTAAGAACCACGATGCATCACACTGCTAAGGGTTTGCCTCATGCATAAACATGGGAGCGCTGATTGGCAGTTGCTAATTATAATACTACACCGTCACACAGGACAATCAGCTCTTCAGACCAAGTAGCACAAATGTAGAAAATAATTTTTTTCCTCTTTTTTTTCTTTTTTTTTTTTTTTTTTCCAACAGAGCAAATGAACACAGATTGTTTCTTCAGCAAAATATGAAACTGTAAACTTTGGGCTCATT